CAACAAATACTATAACTCAGCTGAGCCAGGAAAATTAATTGCAAGGGGAAACAACGTTCGCCGGGTCAGCTAGTAAATCTATAAATATTATAATTGAGTGAAAGACTATATTTTACTTCTATTTAAAACAATGGTATAATAATTATCCACAAATTGTCAGTGTTTGCAATGTATTGAGTTGCATCGATAAAAGAGTATTTCACACTGTTTTCACGCTTTTTAGTGCTTGTTTGTGGATATTTTGGCTATTATGTACTTTAATGTAGATATTTAAGTTGACTGCAGAACTCTCTCTTAGTGAAAAAAGGGGTTTACTTTGTAATTGATATAAATTAAATTAAAATGAACTGAATATTAGAAGGTTGGTTTATTCATTGATATATTAAAAAAAACCTACAAGTAAGAATTTATGCCATGTTGAATACTGACAACTCAAATGTAAAGTATTTCTCTTATATAGGAGCTTCAGTCGTCTTGACGATTATTCAATTTGCACAAGTTCTAGTAGATTTAAATAAATCGAAAAAAAAAGAGTTTCACTTGTTGATACGGCATAACATCAGAGCAAAAAATAAAATATAAAAATATATAAAATATAATGGTGGAGACCGTCTACCATTATATAGAATGATTTAAAACGTTTTTTCCATTTCTGTGGTTAGACTCCAATGAGTATTCGCTAAGTGGCTAGAATATCTAAATTATATAATAGCTCTGGATAAAGTAATTTAGTAAACATAGATCTTTGAATAAAGATTTGCGAGGTTACTGATGTGGTTAAAGTCTCATGTGTGTAAAAGCGGTTATAACTTTTTGCAATAGCATTTGATTTAAAAAAGGTTTAAATATCAGATACCTTGTCATATTTACTGGCAGTGGATCAAAACTGTATCTGTGTAATCACATCTGAGCAGTGTTTCTGTACCAATATATAAGTGTAGATGATTCATATATATCAATATATTTCAGAAAGAAAACAGCAGTCGATAGAAAGGTCTTCATCTAATAAACGTATTTGTTTTGAAGTCTTCGGTCTTCTGTTTTTTAGATGCACAGAACATACTAATAATAGAATGCATGGAAAAGGCTAAAAAATGTTATTACAGGACGACGTTATGTGATGCTTTTGGATTGTTAACTATAGCAAGTCGAGTTAAGTTTATATATAATAACAGCACCAATGTAGTAAAATAATGGTTTATTTATAATTATAATATATTAAATCATAAACAGTTTATGATTATTACAAGCGAAAAAAGCTAAGTTAAATTATTCGATCAACATCTAAGGCTTAAGCCTTAGCGTAAAAGCATTAGCGTAAAAATCTCGGTCTTAACACCTACTAAAAATACATAAAGACAGCAGAATTAAACTATTTTAATTGCATTTAAGCGATGTCAAAGACTGTTATAAGCGTCTCCAACAAACGCTTATAACCTATAATTTGCTAAACACATGACGTAAGAATCATCCAAGAAGGCTAATATTATCCACTGCAGCTAAAACTATTTATGTTAATGAAGTTAAGATTTAGTCGTTCTCATTGACATAAGCTGATTTATACATGTGAAATAGCTTGTTTGTCACATTAAAACATATGACAAATTTTTTAAATTTTGGTAATTTCTTTTGTGGGAAATTTATTTTTAAAGGTTGCATTTGGCATTTTTTATATTAAATTAGTTGATTTATTCATAATGAATTCATTTATATAAAGGATCTATGCTTGCTAAATTATCCTCATTAGCGGCGACTTTAATAAGTAAAACTGGCTAAATGAGAGAAGTGGAAACCTCGCAGTTAATTTGCGAAAGATAACAATTCGTCAGAGTTGGTCGGCATTGACGAGTGATATGAAAAATTCTAATTGTTAAGGCTAAATATCATACAAATGTGTAATACTATGACGTAATTATAATGATTTGCTTTCTAGATAATTAAAAAAAATGAAAACTTATTTTTTTGTGGACTTGATGGTAAAAATATTTTTTAAACAGCAATTTTATTTTTCTATTAGTTTAAAATTAATTATGTAGGTATGTATGCATATAGTTCAGTATATGTTTGTTTTTAATTGAATTCATTGTTAATTGGCTAGGGACACTCAATTACTAGTCATACTGGCTATTATGAGCTAATGCTACTTTAATGAGTGTTACTTCGTTTCTACTTAAGCGTTAACTAATTACACATTTTATATGTAACAAAAGAAAACTTATGGATTTAAACTTGATGTTTAAATGAAATTAATTAAAATTCTAGAATAATTTAAAATGAATTATTATACAATAATACATGGTTATTTTTCTATGTAATTTAATACTTTTTACACAAAGAAACGTTTTAATTTGTCGCAATTATCCACTTTTCCCATTTTTATGCTAATGAAAACGAAACCTAAAATTTACTCAGACTGTAAACAAAAGATTTGTCATCAATGAGTCATTTCAATTACCAACAACAATTTTTGAGATACTTTTAAAGTAGCAAATAATGTTTTTAATTCCCACACCTAACATAACATACAGACTATTTTTAGGTTTAATCGTGAGACCCAGTTATACGTATGTATATGTTATAGTACTACACTTACCATCGCACAAGATGTATTGGTGATACGAGTGCAATTGTTTAATTGTATATCGGTTCCATTGCGACGTACTACAGAATGTATTTGGGGACAGAAACCGCTTGTACGTGTTAAACACCATTCACCGCATGAAGCCCATGGACAGTTATTCGGCATTTGTATATCAACAGTTTGGCACATCACTGGATCCAGTTCGAAACCACTCTTAAATGCTCTAAAAATGTAAACACAATTTTGTTTCCATTATATTTTCACTTGAACAACAAAGCGAGTACTGTATTACTTAGTACAGTACAGTGGATTGGGTAGTTCGGTGATATTATTGAGGGGTTGCGGATTGCTAAATGCATTACTTACTTTAGTGAAGGCGAATAAATGGCAGATGACAAATATACAATCGAGACACAGGACAAAACCATGGTCAGTTGACAAAAACAAATTGCGCGACATATTCGCTTGTCTTGTTCGGGTATGAGACGCGGTTTATCTTTACGACGACCCATCGGTGGGTAAATATATTCTCAGTGTTGTTGTAGACGAAGCGCGACAAGTGTCCTTAATCGAAATATTTATATTTTGCCAACAACTATTAGCTATGTTGGCGCCAACAGCAACACCAACACCAACAACAACGAATTGCCGTTTGAATCGAGTTCTGTTGACAGTTGTAACTTATTTTACGCTTATATATATGCGAATGTTTGAAATAATAATGAATTGTGCAAAATTGGGTGGGTCCGTTTAATATTTTAATGTATCCTTGTTGTTGGGAGACATGTTGAATTCGTTAAAATCGTTACTGAGTTTTCTTTGAATTCACAAATTAGTCACTATTTTTTTATGCTTTTGTTAACATTTAATTACACTAAAACAGCAATAATTTACACACTTCACATACTAACTAAGTATGTATCCTTTTTGTATTTAGTCGATTATGGTATCCTTTTGACTTTGTGAATGGTTTATGCGTAAGAATTTAAATTCCCATTCTTTCTATTTTATTATTTATTATTTGACTTCTGTTTCTATGTTTTTTGTTTTTGTTAATTTTTATTTATAAATGTTGTGAGTTAACTTGTACTAGTTTTAAGCGTGTTTGGGCATCATTAAATTAACTAAATATTAATGTTATGAATTATGTATGTACTTGAGTATATATATGGGAATGTGCTTAATGTTAATGTAATGAAAGCGTAAGCGATTGTTAAAGCGCGGGTGTATCCGTTGCGTACGGAATTCCAATCAAGACTGATTTTCCTAAAGGATATTGATGGTATGTTGGCAGAAGGATAACATTTCTCTGCAATGCTACTTCCAATTGGTGGGGTTGAAAACAATGCTTCCAGTATCATTTTCGTAACAGTGACGGTTCAAATTTAATTGCTTTTAAACTTTGATATAGAAAACTATATATCAGAAGAATAGTAAGCAGAAATAAAATACATTACTAAAAATATAAATACAATTAAATTTATTAAATTTTAAATTTAATATTTATAAATTAAAAAAATTATATTCATACTGTGCCCGCCACTGTAGTTTGTTTATAAATAATTTAGTATTGCGCAAACTCTGTTAAAATTCAGCTGTTCTAAAATTGGGTCGTGGAACGTATAATCCACAAATATCAAATATATATATATATATATATAGTTATATATATATATATTTATATATATATATATATTTATTTATATATATATATATGTAGGTATATGTTGGTATTTATAAACGTGGGCATTTCTTATCAACTTAAACTTTATATTGGAATTTCATTTGAACTGTTTTAATAATTATTTTAAACGTCTCACAAGAATTTTAGGAATAATCTAACTTAATCTAACACCAAAATCAATTATTTGCATGATCACACACACTCAATCCAAACGTCATTTTCTAGTGATACCAGCGCGTTCATATCTGACGCTGCCAGATCCGATCCCACGTATGCATATACAGTCGGAGTCATAAGTCTACAAGTAGGCAGTACAAAAAACTTTGAAAATATTTAAAAAAAAATCAATTTATTGGAAACATACTTTATTGTGTTTTTATAACATTCAATTCACAATGTTTTTGCGAAGTTTCGTTGCACTAGTTCAAAAAACAGCCGAGATAATGGTACTTTTATTGTGAAGAGTAGCAAATCTTTTTTAATATATTTCTAACTATTAAAATCTGATGATATCTGATATCTTTCACCTATAAGTTTGCTTAAAATGAATTCGTAGACTTATTTAAGCTTTATTTTTTAATTTCAATTAAATTCAATTGTCCAGATCGTTCAGATGGTGTCTAGAAAGTTCATATAATAACAAAATTGTATCATTTTTATACACACATATTGTATAAAACAACCGTATCGTTTTTATATATCCGTGATATTTGCAAACAGAACGTCCTTCAATCATATAAACTTCTTTAAATCCGAAATTCTATACAAAAATCCGTATATCAATATACATAATTTTCTGATCTGCCCAGTTCTTATGGATATAGACGTGTGGAATGAATTATTAAATGGCATGAAATTAATCCATTTTTGATCTATGAGAGAAAAGTACTTGGAAAAAGACTTAAAGAGTTTTACTGCATTCAATACAATCCCTAGCAAGAAAGTCTCAGCGAGTGATAAAAAAGTTAATTAAACAGTACACCTATTTGTGGGCGTGGTAAGTTTAATTTCGATTATAAAATACCCTTATAAAAAATTTATAATCTATGAAATCGCTCATTCCACAAAGCGTGTTTAATAAATAAATTAATAACATCGGTAACATTTTGAATTTATAAAAACTATATTTTTCTAATTCTATCTTGCGGAACTATTGATCGTAAAAATTTCTGATGTGGTTCGGTTCAGTGGTTTGAGGATACTGAAAATCATTGGATTTACTTACACTTAATAGTTATTAGTTTATTAGCTAAATCAAAATAAAGAAATATGTTAACCTTCTATTTGAATATTGATATGATTAATAATAATATGTCTTTATAGGTTATAGTCATAATTTTATAATTTTGAAATAGTATATATTAAATATAATTTGCTTAATAAAAAACTAACAATAATATTTTTGTAAAATCATATCTTTTTTCTATCAAATTAAAAAAATTTGATTGAAGAAATATTGAATTGCAATTATTCGCTTTTAAACTGAATTAACATAGTTGTTGGTAAAATTTAATTATCATTAATTAATTATTATTATATATAAAATTAATACTTTTCCAATTGAGTTGCGCTTTAAATCAAATATTAATTTGTCATGCTATAGACTTTTGTTATTCCCATAATAAATTGTATTTATCTAACAATTTTATATGTCTTAGCATTTTAAACTAATTTCAAAAAATATTTTATGATTTTTTAATGAGGAATCCCCTTAAAAATATAATATAATTACCTTTAATGCATATATTTTATAATTGCTTTGTCGCGAGCGTTTTATTTGCCTACATTTCGTTTAAAAAATTAATATTTTTTATTGAATTATTATTTTTATTTATTATTTTTTTGGATTATTATTTTACGACACATCCGTATATTATTGTTAATTTATTATTTAATTGCTTCTTTGGAAATTTGAAAACTTCAAAGCAATAATATATCTTTAGCGATTTCAAATAAAAAATAAACATGACATATTATTTTTTCATTTTATTTTTTTATTTGTATAAAATTTAAAAAAAAGAAAAATAAATAAATAAAAATTTTCATGGAGTATTTGCTACCATTCCATTTATCCAGTCCATAAAATATTGTGTACTTGTATATACACCTGGAATATTTGGACGTGCACAACCAATACCATACGACACAATGCCTATAAGATAATAGCGCACATTACCTTGGTAAGGCTATAAAATAATTTATTTTTAGAAAATTTAACATAATTTGTGTATATGAAAAAATTATACCTCTGGTATCATGAGTGGACCGCCAGAATCTCCTTGACATGTATCTTTTCCGCCAGATAATACTCCAGCACAAATAACAGCGGTATCGAACTGATTTTCTGTAAAAAGTCGCTTTTCATTAGCATAACTTTGTCTGCATACATCATTTTTGTAGATGGGAATTTGTAGTTCTTGCAGAATTTTAGCCGATATGCCACCTTCCATTGTTTTACCCCAACCTGCTACAAATGGAGTGCTGCTTACATATGATTTTTGCCGCAATTCGGGTGTATTTGGCAAACAAATTGGCGATATAAAGTCTAATGTTGTATAAGCAAGTTAGGAATAAATAATTTATATATTACTTGCATATAAAATTTTACCATTAAATTCCACATTTCGTTCAAGATATAGTAGTGCAATGTCACTGTGACCGTTACGTTTATTATAGTCCGTGTTTACCACTTGCTGCAAGTAGTTTTATTTGAAATAAAAATCAAAATGTTTAAAGAAAAGATTGAAATTAAATCACTATTAAACTTACTTTAACAATAGGAATATCGACGTGCTTAGTTTCAGTGTCGGTAGATAAATCATGTTCACCTAATCTCACAAAACTCCTACAAAAAGAAAAGAATAAATATATAGCTTACTTTATATTAACGTAGGATTAGGTTAGTTATTAGCTAAAGTCACTTACAAATCACTACGTATACAATGTGCTGCTGTTATCACATGTCTAGCCGTAATGAGTGTGCCACCACACTTGAAAGGAGATGAAGACAACTCATCGTTATAACCAAGCAAAGCTATCCACGGCCAAGCACCTTTCTTGCTCACTTCACCACCCACAATCTTTTTATAGGAACTTGCGGTGTAACCACAACCTTCAGTCACTGTCGGTAAACGTGTTGGTATTTCATTGCTGTTCACTCTGGGTGTTGGAGTAGTTGTTAACTGCTGACTTGTGCCAGTTGGGCAACAGACAATGCTACCAGTAGCTCCACAAATACGATTTGATGCACGTAAGAAATTTGCAAATGTTTGATCATTCTGCTTAGCATAAAGTTCATTCACAAGTTCCTGGCAGTTCTTAAGATCTAAAATATGTTTAAATAATATAGATAACTGATGGAAACATTGAAGTGACAATTATATAACTAACCTATGCATGAACCTTCGCGTATATCAGGACCACGACAGTAGGTACCTTTTGGTTCAATAAGTGGTGCCGATGTTATTGGCTGTGGTGTGGTTGTTGTTGTTGTGGTCGGAGGTTGTGTTATTGGTGCTTGCGTTATTGGTGCCTGTGTTATTGGTCGACCTGTTGGAAAAAATGGATTTGTTGGTTGAGTTACTGGATTTGGCGTTGTTCTGATATTTTGTTGCTGTTGTTGTTGTTGTTGTTGTGGTCTTGTACAGCACACCTAAGCATTATGGGAAGTTTAATACAACTCCAAAATAGAACTTTGTAGTATATCTCGTTTAAAGAGATTAGTTTCTAAATTACTTACCACTGGATCACCATTTACATTACGTGTACCGCAGCTTCTTTGTAGCCCAATAATATACTGCTCGGCAACACGTCGATTTGTTGTCTGAAATATGTTTGCAATTTGAGGACAATAACTCAGGAGAACACAATAGCCATAATAATTATCGGGAGTAACACAGTTGTACTGTTGAGCTGAAGTTTATATGTATGGAAAAATAAGGATTTGAAATGTTTTTCCTTTTACTATTTGTAAGTAATGATGGCAAGTTAATAAATCAACTACTTGTTTCCAATCCAAGTTGTGTTAAATTGTAAAATTTTTGGGGTTGATAAGCTTTAATAGTCAATATAATAAATATTTCATGCAAACTACTAGTTTTTTTTGGATTAGTTTTATTTAATATTATTAATCGAACTATAAATTTATGAATTATTGATTTATTTTAATTCCAAATAATATGGCTCAGAAAGGTGGTTAAATTTTAGTATCTAAGATATTCATTAATATATTTTAACAAGCAACTGTTTTTGATTTGCAATTGAATGCATTTTAGTAAATATGAATAACTATAAGTATATCAAATTTTTGAAGTCAGACAATAGTCAGAGAAAGCAAAAATATAATATTTGTGACTCCAAGTGGAGTTAATGGAATCTTGAGAAGAAGAAGAAAAAAGGTCGTCATAAATGAAAAATTGTCTCTTTTGTTGTGATTTAGTGCTATTAAGTAGCAGTTTTATGAAATCACTTATTTTATGTTGTAATGATTAATATGTAATTTTTTCTAGTAAAAATTAAACACTATCTTAATAACATATTAAGAGCAATTAAAATATTATTAACGAGTAACAGATTTAAGATACAAGTATAAGAAAAATGTCACTGTGCGCTGCTATTTTGTATCTTTTGAATATTGTTTTAAGCGATTTAAAATATATTACTCCCATATCTTCAAAAAGGTTAAGATTACAGACCAATTATATTGTAATATGTCACATATAAATTGACATGATGAAAATATTTTATTATTATAAAAAACAAAGTAGCATACATGGCTCTGGAATTCTATATATATTTTTAAAATGTATATAGAATATATAAGATATTTAAAATATACTTAAGGAAACTCACTAAAGATTTCATATTGTGTGAGTGATTAAAAACAAAGTAGCATATATGGCTCTATATTTTTATTTTATATTTTCTATACTTTTAAAATATATATAGAATATATGAGATATTTAAAACATACTTAAAGAAACTCATTAAAGATTTCATATTGTCTGAGTGATTAAAAACAAAGTAGCATATATGGCTCTGGAATTCAATATATATTTTTAAAATATATATAGAATATATAAGATATTTAATATATACTTAAGGAAACTCATTAAAGATTTCATATTGTCTGAGTGATTCGGTAAATTTTTATTTCTTTTCTTACATTGTTTAGAGCTTACTTTGACTATTATTTAATAATACCGATTTTAAGACTATATGGAAAACTCAGAAGTGACGTTCTTTTATCAAGACAATTTTACCTATAATATACAACAAAATTAAATAAAGAATATGATGTTCGCAAAGGTGTTAATAGATCAGCGCTCGTTCAATGGTTGCCTTTTTTCTGGTGGTAATACGTGCTTTTGTTAGTTGATTTGTTTAACACTTTGTTAAAGTACATTTTGTTTTCAGTTTTGCAGATAATTTAAATCTAAATATCATTTGTTTATAGTACCTCTGTTTCAATAACTATTGATGAGATTGAATTAATTTCGATCATTTAATAGTTAGTTGTATTTTGCTATAGTTTATCTAACATGTATAGATTGTCTTGTTGTACAAATGGCTATATAGGTATATCCCTATAAAATCCTATTCCATTAGATGCCTGGATGGTATTTTAGAATAGTTTAAAATAATTATTTTAACAGCAAGTATTTAAATTATTATTTAAAAGCAAATTGTAGTGCAGTAAACTTCAGAATATAATATATACTTAAAACGTTATTGCACTTGCTAGATAGGTTTTTGAAACATTATACCAGTATGTTAAACCAATTATATTTTTCATATCTAATTAAAGTTTATTGCATGGTGTAATGTTGATTCAATTTAAAAATGTCATATCCCTACTGCAGACTTGTTAACCTTCACTATTATTTACACGAGTATTACATCGGTTTGGGTAGTTTGGGTCGTAAGTATGTGCAAAGAATTGTAGGATGGTTTACTTTGGCTTCATGACATGTTTCCAAACTACGAATATTAAAAAATAACTATATTGAAATGTTTCTTATTTCTGGGGTTTGCCGATTCAATGACGTATCTTAGTCAAGTCGCGTATACTTTCACTATGCTGTATGCCGATATCGAGATTTAAAGTTAAAAACTGTTTACATGAAAACCAACAAAAGTAGATATGTAGCCACACCTGATGGATTGTTGTTATTAGTTCTTTGTGTTATCAACATAAAAATTTCAAAAAGTGAAGAACTTTTAACCTTGATATCTCGAAAACAAAGCTGTAGTGGAAAAACATGCTCAAAATAAGCAACTTTACTTAAATCCATAGTCAAATCTGAGAATCTTTCCACTTGTTTTATATAACATACTTGTTGAAATATCTACTTGAGTATGATAGCTTATTTGAATATGATATTACGTCATATGTTCTTGGCATAGTTGACCACTATGCCTTTCTGTTCCTATATAGTTCATGTCCACGGCTGCTGAGCATTTTAAATATGTGTTAAGAAACAAGTGAATGAATTGTCACCATTTCTGACAATGCAGTAGAAAGATATGAATCAACAATATGGTCTCCATATTACCTGGAGCATTAATTTATAATTATTTTAAAACAATTAATTTGAAATGATGGATTAATAAAAATAGTTCTTTTAAAAAAAAATATTAATTTCAAATGCTAATTTTATCGAATGTGACGCATTCTATGACGAAAATAAGCTAGAAGGGTTTGAACGGTAATGAATAAACAACAACAAAAATTTTGAATTAATGTATTGAAATTTGGGTGACTATACAACACTGTTTCGAGTATTAGAAAGTATCGAAACTTAAATTTCAATAAATTAATTAAAAATGTTTGTTGTTCTCTCTTCATTATTATTAATTTTATTTTTTATCGAAAAGAATTTGTAACCATAAGAGATGAACTATTTAAAATGTGAATACATAGAAATATTCCTATACCCTATTAGGACAGTAATAGTTATATATTGTATAATGATGACGATTGTAAATTTACTGTGTATTAATAGCATTCATGTTTACAATTTTCATTAACAAGTGGTACAATTGAGTTTAGTATTCAATTATCACAGATTCGTAAGTAAATAATAAGATGTACTTTCTTATATATTTAAATTATTTTAATATTTTAATAAATTATGGAAATATGTACGAAAGATTAATATAATAATTTAGTTTAGTGATCATTGTTTTGTTAAAAAACACAATCCATTAAACCGCTTTTTTTAACTTAATTTGGGTAATTAATAATTTAACAATAACAGTGTTTTTTTTTGCGAAAATATATCTATATAAATGTGAAAAATTTTTTGCCGGTAAAAATAAAATTTATCACGTGCAAAAATATTTGAAATTGTACAAAATTAACCTTGAGTGTTTGCCCGTAAACTTGTTTCATGAACTTCGTTATAAAAACTTCATTCAACTAATTTAGTATAAACGGTCATCAATAATTTTAAGCAAGTAAAAACATATACTATGTACAAGTATAACATATACATATAAATTTGTAATTTATGAAAAAAAATACACATAGTTTAAAGATAGTTTTAAATAAATATTTGTTGGCATTAAACGCATCAGTAAATTTCTTAAATTCATTAAAGACAACTAGTCTTAATAAATATAAATAAATTAATGAATTAGTGATTTTCTTGTAATACGATTTAATAAATGTTAACATTATTATTGAAATAATACTTACTTATTCAAGAAACTTATTAAAGCCTCATGAGTATATCTTTGAATAAAATTTAAATATATATATAAATTATATATAAGACAAATTAAATAATAAGTGTGTTTTTGCAAGCAATTATTTAAGAATTTTTATGCATATATATATATATATATATATAAGTATTTTTTTAATTTTACATCTATATATTTAATTTTGAAATAAGTAAGCTATTAAAATATATAAAAGCAATTTCTTAAATTAATGTGAGAGAAGAGAATTTAAGAAAATAAAAATTAATTTAGTTAAAAATTATAAAATATAAAATATTGTTTTTTCATTAATTTGTCTATCTTAATGTGTAACTTATTTTAAAATCAAATAAATGGATGTAAAATAAAAGTGATGTACAATATTATTCTTTATGATTGATATATTTCAAAATTTTGTAGAAATAATTTTTATTATTTACATAAATTTCTCTATTTTTCTTTAAATAAGTATAACTAACAAATGTATAACTACAGATATTTAAAAACAATATTTGACATAATGCACTTGTATATTACATTGTTTCTCTTAATTAAATTTAACAAATTTTTTCAATATTTTCAATAGATATATTAATAGATTATCAAAGTTTTAGTCTAGAATTTTAAAAGTGAATATTCGATTTTATTAAAACTTTTATGTTTTTTTAATTTTATTTATCCGTATATATTATATATACTGAAAAACATAAATATAAAAACATTATATTTTAAATAATAATATCATATTATTTGGCAACCAGTATTATGTTTACAAGTATCGATTTCTTAAAATAAATTGCATAGATGATTGCTCATCTACATTATATCTGTCTCTTGATAAAGTCCACTGAAAACCATTATAAAACCTTTTGCTAAACTACTATTGAATAGTTTAGGAAATATATCTTATATATGAATTCGTATAATATGAATGTCATTACTGAAACTGAATTTAGAAATTCTGCGATTCATGGTTGAAAATCCATATTTTTTATTACAACATATTTTCTGTATTGATATTATTTATATATATTTTTAAAATTAATAAGGGATATTTTGATAATATTTAAAAACTAACATATCTTGATAATATTGTACATATTTTGTACACATAATATAACATATATTTATACTTAGAGCTACTAGTAGTTTTATTTCTGGAACCCTGATATTTTTCCTTATACCCTTATTTTTTAAAATTAGGTAACAATAGATATTAAGTGTTTGTTCCCTCATTAATTGTCTCTAAGGGCTTTTATCCAGTATAGCAATGGCTATATATTAAATATAGGCATAACTTCATGTAACTTCAAGTACAACCCACCGATCTACATATATATGCATCTATATATTATTTATATATATATATATTTGTTACGATTTTTTGATTTTAAAATAATAATATTCTGAATAGAAAAATGTACTTTATTTACTTTATATTACTTCTTCAATTTGTGTTTGCACTACGATACTCAAGAATCTCCAGTATAATTGATTTTGAACATTAAATCTTTAAAAATAGTTTAAATATGACTTTAATTTATTTTATACTCGGTTTTTTTAATATAATTACATTAAGCACATAAATTTGTGTGTCTAGATAAATATCTGGTATACGAGGCAATATACTTTTCTATTCTTTTGTTATTATTATATTATATTTGCTTATGGTGTTTGATAAAATGTGAGTTAGCATCTGAAGCACTTTCACACAAAAATCATGACTGTGTTATAATCACACTGTAATAATGTAATACTACTGTAATAAATATTTAACTAAACTGTCATATTGGATCATTCAGATGGACTAGAAAAATATATTTTGAAGTCCTAGGATATCTTTCTAATTAAATAAATATTACACTTATTTAAAGAGGCTGTAAAGCGGAGCATCCCTAGCATCAGTTTATTAATAATTTGACATGTTTTATTTTTTTATTGTTTTTCTTTTAAATATGTAACATTTAATCTAATTTCTTATTATTGAATATCATTAATTATTTTGCTTTTTATATAACACAGAAATTAGTTGTAGTATAGATATATACATTTTTAGCAACTGGTACAATTTAATTATTTAAAATGTTAACTTACTAATAGTATATTTAAAATTTTTTATAATTTTCAAATATAATATTTCTAAAAAAACTTATAAAACTTATTTAAACTTACGATGTCTTTAATTATTTAACTATAATACGGAACTGAACATAGTTTCGAAATATATAAGAATTAATAACAACTAGTGCAACTTAATTAAAATTAATGAATAACAAGTAAATAAAATATGTCTTTATTAAAAACATATATACGTCAAAAAGACAAAAACAATTGAAACAAAAATCACCGCTAATGAATTTGTATGCTTTTAAACAAAAGACTTAAAACACAAACTTGTTACGAATTTATTGTCAAATGATAATTTTTGCATTATTATTAATCTCAGATTTTAACATTTTTTTACTAAATTTAAATAAACAGCAATATATATTTTGAACAGGTTTCCTTGACTGTTTTAAGTTTAATTATTAATAATTTGCTAATGGTGTTGTTATAAACAAATATACGCATGCAAATGAATTAAAATACAATATTTATCCTAATTTGTTTTGTAAATTTAAATATGTATTTTGATTAAGTTAATTACCTGGTCTTTGATTGAAGCGCTGTGAAAAAATGGGCGTAATCCATGCTAAACCAATAAAGGCGTAACACAATATATTAATATGCAATTTCATATTTATTTTTCACTTTTCTATGCTTTTTGAGATTTTTATTATTTGTATTTGCAAATAAATTAATTACACATAGTACGTTTTATCAAGAAAAACTTTAATTTTTTCTGATTAAATTATATATAATTTTGCTATGAACTTTTTTGCTTAATTTATCACTTTATTTAATTAATTTGAATCAAAATTTTTTATTCAAATTCTTCTCGTATCCTTTGTGTTACCGTACGCGTGCACGTTTGCTTTAAGACTGTTTGGTTCGATTTCGATGTATTTTGGTTGAGATTTGTTTAAGAAACACGATGTTGTCTCACTGCTCGTTCTCAATCTTTCTCACCTAAAGCCACTAAGCTTTGCTAGAGACCGCTTTATATCTGATATCTTTAGATACAAATTACTGTTGAAATATTTTCTAAATCACATTTGAGTGACAAGTTTTTTACTTTTGTGGTGAGTGTAACATGTTCTTCGATTTGGCTAATTAAGATTTTATTGATTTTGACTAAGAACTTTTTTATATGTATGTTATTTATTAGTAGTACTTATACATAACATAAAATGATTTTAGTCAGTTATTCTGTAAATATAAATTTCTTTAGCTAAAATGCTAACAAATCAAAAAATAAGAAATGGAGGGGATCACACCACTTAGTAATTATCTATAATTAAATATTATTTCATTTGAATTTTATATATTCAAAATACTTTAGTAATATGTAAGGTAAAGATATCAAACATAATTTATCTTACCTTACAAGTAATGTAAAGAAAGCAATGATAATTAATAAATACGTAGTTAAAAATAAACGAGTTTTTTTTAAAAACAAATAGTCATTTGTTAAATACTATTTAATAATTAAAATTAATACAATTATATTTTATTTTTCAATATAATTAAAAAATATATACGCTGGAATAACTAGTACAAGTGTTAGATACTCTCAAACGTAAAAAAATTAGTGTATAATTTCAGAAATTAGTTCAAAATAATAGAGTGCAAATTTGTCACTAAACTATAACAATTAACTGATAATAAGTTATATGATAGGGCATAATTGCGATTTTTTGGACACAGATTGGAAATAGATTTTAATAGAGACAGCTGCTTTATTTATTTTTCTCACTACGCTTTATGTCAACAGAGCTTAGTTTTCGAGAAAGCTGGAAATTTTTACATAAAAACCGACAACAACAACTTAACATCTATTTGTTGTTAACCATCGTTTATTTAATCCATCGTTTAGTAAAAATTGTGTACTAGATAGCCAATGTGTATAGATTTTGCTAGTGTAATCAATATAAATAATGTACAAAAAACAAGCAAAGAAAATCGTATTAAATCGTATTAAAATAGTATTATATAAATAAAATATATAATAACGGAATATACATCCTTAAGCGTAGAAAATTCAGAATGAGAACAACTTCATTCACATAAAATATAGAAATTTGAAATGTAGTTATGTAATAATAATAGATGATTTAACGCACCACGATAAAAACTAAAAGATGCTGAAGTAACTAAGCCAGAACACATTTCAGGCTCCGACAAAGTGGTAAGTTCACTATCTTGCCGAACTATGTCAGTATTTAGAAACTTCAAATATAAATTATTTGCAAAATCAATGACCGATTCTCATAGTCATTATGTCATAAGTGACATAAGTTGTCAATTTATTTCAACAACTTATTGTTAACAAATACTGTAAACACATTGAGCTATTAAATTATATAAATAGCATACAATAAATCCCTTTATTTTAAATAATCGAAATATATTGTGAAAATTTAAAAAAAATAACATTCCAAGTAAAAGCACAAGAACATTTAAAAACAATTTTATGAAAGTGCTAGCAAACATCACTCAAAAATTCTCAACAACATTCACTAAAATAATTATGTCAGATATTAAACGTACCTTATAAATAAAGTGAGTTTACGGGGTAATGGAATTAAGCACTACTAAATTGAATTCATATCAATAACGCAGTAGTCTTTCATTTAAACGTGTTTAGGGATATTAAAATACTTTTAAAATTATATTAAAGATTTTAAACAGAAATATTTACCTATTCGATACTAAATAAAATAAATCTAAAAAGTTGTTTTTATTTTAGAAAGTAACAGCTAGAGTATTCACAAGGTCCGATAAAATACATGTCAAAATTAACACCAGCTGAAATGATTATTTCTTGCCCATTAGTTAAAATTTTATAATTGATTTTTATATAAGAGAGCGATAGTAATCATATTGTCCCTTTAAATGGAGCATGGAGTATGGCAAATTTATATTATATATATTTATATATATTATGACTTTCAAGGAATATAATTATTTTGACTATTTGAGAAAAAAAAATATTAAGCTTAGCATTATATAAATGATATATGATATTATGATATTATTATATTAACATACATTTAAGGACACCCTAAATATAGAGGGTTTTCTAATAGCAAAGAAAGAAAGAATGGACACACACAAAAATTTATTTAATTTTATTGAAGTTGGGCTGACCATACAACGCTGTTTCGAATATTGCCAAGTACTTATCATCAATGGTCTTAGGAAAAAATCGAATTTTTAATTAGTATATAGTCCGTATATTATTTGTTTTTGGACTGCAAGTGCTAGGCTTAGAACTCATGCCTATCAAATTAGAAGCGATGACAAAACGTGTTTATACCATAAATATAATATAAAAAATTATAAATTAAATTAAATTATGAATAAATTAAAATATATATTACGATATATTTTCATTCAAACAACTTCACTAATCTATAATAGATAAGAGCTGAGAACCTTTGGTGTCCTTACTTTGAATTTGTGATTCATTGTTTTTTTTTTATTTAATAACAACTAAATAAAAAATCTATATTAACTTTTTAAGTTTTTATACAAAATATGTAAAAATATTTTGCATTTATTAAGAACCTTAAAATGATTTTTAAATTTTACAAATATTATTTTTTATTCGCATTAATATTTGCATTTCATTTTGAATATGTGGTTCAAATTATTTTAATATATTCTGGCTCAAAACTCGTTTCATTATTAACTACTACAGGTTTTAAATTTAATTTAAAAATGTATTAACCGTTGAGCATTTGTTTAGGAACTTATAATTAATTATAGTGTATATTTAAGAGAAAAAAAATATACTACAAAATGGAATAAAAATTAAAATTTACATAGAATTAAAATTGACCTAACATTGTTCTGGAGAATTAATTTTATATTAATTTTAAAATAACGTTTCTATTTTTTTATAGCAACAAATTTACTTCATAGTTTTACAGAACAATTACAATATTACTTAAAAAGTACTGAATTCTAATTTTACATGGTACTTTTTAGCAAATCATTATTTTCATTTTTAAATTTATTATTTATACATAGTAATATTTTGAAACTTCCTATAGATGGAATTTTACACACAACCGGATCTGCTTACGAATTTATTTACACATTTGTCACATGTGTAAGTAGTGTAATTATAATGTATATAGTAAATAATATGCATCACAAATATTACATTAAAATGACATTAAAATATCATATTATTAAAAAAAATTAAATTAAATATTTTTCCGACTTCAGTGAACTTTTTTTTTAATTACGAAGAAAGTAAAAAAAATTAAATAGAAAGAGCTATTAATTATTTTGTAAATATAAATACTTTTGGATAAACTTAATTTACACGATGAAAATCACAAACTGATATTTAGTTTTTAATGTAAACATCAATAAGTGATCATCCAAACACGAACAGTAGTTGATTTGAATATCGAAATGAAACTAAGATTGACTAACTGTTATTTTTATAAATTTATTGATAGTATATTTACATATGTATATATATTCTATTTATATAAAAATAATTAAAACATTAAATAATTTGAGTATATTAATTAACTTCAAGTTAGATAATTCTAATTTTAATTGTGTTTGTGAGTTTACTGCTAAAATTTTATTATATATGTTTTTTATATCACATTACCAATATTTTGCCATTAAACATATTCGTAAAATAATTTTTTTTCTAGATTTCTTTGATTGCAATGTACATTAGTTTTTTGTACATTTTATATATTTTTACTGAGTTAAGTCACTTTAAATATTATAAAATAATTCACACGTTATTGTTGTTGTAAAACTCATTGTTATTCAAGTGGAACAGCAGATTTTAGTATTTGAAGTTGTTTGAGATGTTTATTTTTAATACTGTTCTCTCATTTTTGGAGCTACACACATCAGAAATGCATATTAAGTTACACGTTAAACTCTCATATGATGGCAAAAAAACCGTTCAAATAAAGTTTATACTATATTTTTCTCCTCAACTGCATTCTAAGCACAAATAAAATAATTTTATATATTAAAATGCTGTAAACTGCCTACATTCATGAACTGAAAGAGTAATAGGGATTGAGTGGTTCAATACTAATTAATATTATTATTATTGCAATACTCCATTAGGAGCTTAAGGATCCTACAAAAGTTTTCCACTTGTTTATATTTTGTGCTATTGCTCTTAACTCGTTTAGCGATTTCCCCATCTTCTGCTGAACTGTTCGTCTCCAGGTCATTGCTGGTCTGCCTCTACACCTAGTCCCCTGGGGGACTATGGGCGATATATTCATAAGGCTAACTCAGTGTGTGTCCAATCCAACTATACTTCCTTCTTCTTATTTTCTTCTTATCTTAATTTGAAATCGTTCTAGGCCACCATATGCCTAATATGTTGCGCAGTCATCGATTGATAAATGATTGCAATCTTTCGATTTCGTAGTTAGCAAGCCAAATTTTATAGTTAATATAAAATTCAGAAACTTATTTATCACAGACTTATAAATATCGTTATGAAAACAACAAAAAGCATAAAATTTTTTACTCGGAATATCATACCGCAGTAAAGGCAATATATCACATATCATATATATTAAATATGTAAAAAATATACATACGCGTATTAAAAACATAAATTCACTTACTCACCTGTTTGCGTATACTTTCCAATATTAGTATTCGACATATATATTCCAAGGG